CAAATACATCGTATGACCCTCCATTGTTGTCTCTTGAATGAAGCTCAAGTCCATCAGCACCTTATCAAACGGATTAGTCGCTCTACTTGGATTTTTCAGATGAAAAGACATCCTTTTCATCTTCGCCATATCACAATTAAAGCATTGGCCTTTCTTGCGCTGATCCTCCTTTGATAGCTCCAAGCCTCGCACTAACTCTTTTGAAGCCATCTCTCGGATCACTTGCCAGTTTGCATGCGCTAGGCGGTGATGCCATAAACGCAGCGATCTTGCCGGCTGAACAGTGGTCTGCAACACAGCTAACTGAGAACGTGGAATCTCTACCATTGTCTGATAGAGACCATCGACCATATCAAACTCCCAGGTGATATGCTTCACCTGATTTGATAATGTTGTTACCTCCTGGTCCTCACTTGTCTGCGCGCAGAAATTATGATCCTCGTAGAGGGTACGCTGTGACAACAGGTTGGTTGCTCCTTCTACAAACAGAGCCTCCACCGTTATCCATACTTTCTTTTTAGTTGTGGCATCAACGACGGCAAACTTCACCAAACCTTTCATCTGCGCCTTCTTACAGGTATTCTCAAACCACCTCATCACCGTATCACAATCCGACGTCAAAGACACAAATGCCTCACGACATCCACAGATATTTACTCCAGATGCGTTATCCAACACAAACGGAACGTAAAAGCTCTTTCCAGATTCATTTTCTTGCCTAGGATTTGCAAAACACGGTAATGGCTTGTCTTCCACGACTTCAATCATAGTGACAGGTTTGGTCTTCTTTCCACCAGACTTAGTTGGTTTATAGAATCCAGGGAGATCTTCACATGTGTCGTCGTCGTCCTGCTGTTTCTTCACCTTGGATTTGCTTCGGTTCTGTTTACCACCTTGCTGTTGATTATCGTTTCGCGGGTGTCTGCACTCATACGCGTAATGTCCGAGTTTGCCACAATTATAGCAGTCAATTTCTGAGCGTAGACGTTTTGGCTGACCTTTGCCTCCTCCACGACCTCTTTTCCGTTTATTGACGAACGATACACTCTTATCATCGGACTGCGTACTTCCAAACTGTGCTGCACCATTTCCGGCCTGAAAGTTTCCTTTCTTCCTAGCCTTAGCTTCTATCACCGCTTTAGCCTGGTTCAGACGCTCTTCACGACTGGTAAGCTTGATTTTCACTTGTTGCAGAGAGATGTCATCCAAATTGTCAAAGGTCTCAACCATACTCTCATAGGTCTCACCAAGTCCAGTCAATAAAGCAGTTATCACCTCCCTATCCGACACATCCTCATGCATTAGTGTTAATTCCTGCCGGATCGCCTCCACTCTGTGAATATAATCTCGGATCGACTCATTTTCCGGATCAAATTCAACATTTAGGAGCTCTCGGCGTTTGAATAACCCTACTGCAAAGGATTTCTTCTCGAAATCATCCACCAATGCAGCCCACTTGGCCTGAGGATTCTTTAAATGTGCTAGTCGGACTCGGGTCCCATCATCCAACGTATTCGTCAGGATATCATTCAGCAACAGCACCTTGTTCCTATACTCTTTGCGCTTCTGCATCGTAGCCCTTGTGCCGTCCTTCTCGGGCTTGGTCTCCCTTCCGATTAGGATCTTCCAGCACTTCCGAGCACACAATGCTGCCTTAAGACCTTCCTTATAAGCAAGGAAATTCTTGCCATCGAACTTGAGCGAGCGGATAGTATCAACTCTCTGACCTTCCATGCTCTCTCCTTGGGCTCATAACCTTAAAGACGTACAAGGTTTAAAGCTCTTGAGCAGCACTAGCGTAGGCGTTGACAACAGTCTTCGGCGCCTCGAGATGTATTTGAGTGGTAGTTAGGAGCTTTTCTTCTCTCTCTGTCTTTTACTTGAGTCTGAGAAGTTTCTATTCCCAAACCCTGTCTCATAATTCTTCGTTGAGGTCGACCATTTTCTCTTAAATATGCTAACCAATGATAAGCGTGAATGTTACATGAAGGGAACTTGATCGGATCTAGACAACTTCATGGTTTTCAGTTCTACGAAAGTGCATTTCTTGGAAGTTCTTCAATCATCACATTATGCGAGATCCAATACATCAAAGTAATGGTTGGCGAAACACCACTGGGGATTCCTTAACCCAACAAATTCTGTCTTTAAAAAGAGGACGAAATAAGATTCAAAAGCGTCAACTCAACGTGGTTTTGTCCTTAAGGTCCCGATTATAAGGACAAAAATCGAGTGCAAGTAGAGCAATTGCCTCGGTATGATGTGACACTGAGGCAGCTGACGCCATTGTGTATAAGATTAAATTTTCACTTGATTATACTATTGAATTCGAGGACTTTGTAATTTGTAAGGACAAATCGTCTTCTACACAGGATATGAAAGCATAATTCTTTAATAGGGGATACATTTTGCTAGATCCCGGAGCATATTTATTAACAAATTCAGTACTTCATAGGACTATGCTACAGTATTCGAAACTCTCGATCGCCGCAGCGATTGAAGCCTACTTGCATCGTTTGGTGATCTGCTATAGAAATAATAGCCCCTGCAGCCTGCTAAACGCTGGCTTACAGCTACTCAGTGGTTCCGCTAGTATTGATTACAGAACTTTACTACTACAGCATATCGGATGAAATATACGACTGCGGTCTATTCGGATGTAACTGGGTATGCCACGCGCTCCCGCTTAATTTTTTTTCTGAATAGAAGTCTTTGAAATAGCATCGTTGTTCAGATTTCAGAGCTTCTTCGTGCAAGGCGCGACTTTGTTTGAGGCTGATAATATAATAGGTTTTGTTCGACTGACTCACCTCGTACAATAATACAAGCATATACGATAAGTATTTTTACGCCATTCCATTCGCGTTCAAATGAAACCTGCTGGAAGGCCGAAAACCGTTGGTTTTCGTCGATGCAAGGAGCAGATAGCTCGGTGGCATCTGACCTGCAAATATTTTTTGTGGTGGATCAGAGGTGTAGAATAACCTGAAGGACATCCCACAGAGTCCAAATTATTAGCCGTGACTTCTTTAATTCAGAGTTAATATTTCATCCTTCTATTAAGATGATCTTTTCGATTATTACCAACTCCATAACTACCTATGGTAAACGCATGAACATAGGCTGCCAAGTAAAGCTCTCCTGTCTATTGAATAAATAACATCTACAGTAGATGATCTACTGTTGGGAAGACGACCGATAAACACTGCATTCGTTCTGTTCTCTTACGACGACGCATAGCATTCCTGTAAAGGATCCCATAATACGGGCTTAGCTTATAAAAGAAGGTATTGTGTGCGACGGACACCGAAGCTTCCACCACCCGGGCCGGGGAAGAACCCCAGACAACTCAAGTTGAAGATCCACCGTTGCACGCCAGAAGCACTAGATGGTGGCCCTACCACGAAGTCGTTTTTTCGTGAAAGCCAACACACACGCCCAGTCGTGGTCTAAAAAATGCGTACCTCCTTAGGCACAAAATATCATATGGATGCCGCGCACCCGTACAGACACAACTATAACCTTCAGCACATACCGAATTCTGGGGGGTCAAATCCTCTAGATGCCATGTGGTGCGTTTAGTCCCACCGTAAGCATTTGTATTAGATTGCGAAAAACGTAATCACACGCCCCACAGAATACCAAGGCAGGCTTCATTGTTGAGCTCGATGAGGCGTTGGCTATTCTCGCTTAGATTAACTGTTCGGAGCACTGACTACGCGAACGATGTAATGCTGCTCACATGAATTTTGATATTAACGTTAAAAGAAGCGCAGCCGTAGGCTTGTCATGTCTGTGACAGAACTATGCATTCTGACAGTACTGGACTGTACAAGTACAGTACTCACTGAGCACTGCTCAGTCCACTTTGAGCCTCGAATCAATCTTGGGATTGGCTTTTCCCAACGTCCAATCGTTCATACAGGATGAAATCAACATGTACAGCACACTTCACTCCATACATGAAGCTCATAATCGAACTGCCAAATACGAATGCAACTTCGCTATACCGTGATCCTGGCAGTGGCCACCCTTCTCGCATGCGTCGCTGGTGCTTCGCTGGCCAGTGTCAATGGATTGAGCCCTCATCCTACTCACAATATGGGCGCTGCCACGACGAGGCTGCTCAGAACTACCGCTATTAACTACGACGATGATGAAGAAAGACTCGCCGGCTTCGACACAATCACGAAGCTTGTCAAGTCAGGGAAGGAAAAGTACAAGGAAAGCAAGCAGTTAAAGTCATGGCTAAAGGACAAACAGTCGGCAGACGAGGTTTTCGGGTTGCTCAAGCTCGACGACGGAGTCGGGAACGTGCTGACAAAGGAGAAAGTAAAGGTCTGGGCTTCTTACGTCTCCAAGTTCAACAAAAAGTATCAGAACGACAGAGTGTACATGATTGACATGCTTGTGGCTCGCTACGGGGACGACGGTGTATCGATGATGATCGAGGCTGCCAAAAGAGACCCAGTTGCGAAGAAATTGGCAGATAAATTGCAAACAGATCAGTTTCGAGGCTGGATTCGAAGCGAGAAATCTGCCGATGACGTGTTCAAGATCCTCAAACTGGACGATCCAGCAAATATTGCCAACTCGAATATGAACGCTTGGCTCAAATATCTCGATGTATTCAACCATCGGTTCCGAGACAAGGCAACAAACATGCTTGACACCTTCACGAGGGTCTATGGCGGGGAGAAAGAGCTTGCCAAGATGCTTGTAGCTGCGCAGAAAGTGCCAGCTACAAAACTACAAGCTGAGGAGCTGCAGGCTGCGCTGTTCACAAAGTGGTTTAAGAATGGATGGCAAACAAAGGATGTCATGACACAAGTATTGAAGTTAGATAAGACGAACTGGGCTATAAGCCCAGACGCAGTCATTCTGACCCATTACAACAAGTTTTACAAAAACCAAGTAATCCGCAACGATATCCAATAGACTGCCCAGATTTAAAAAACGCTTACCGGTAGGTTTAGACTATCTCGATATCAGTGGTACCCTGTTTTGGTGGACCAGCAGTATAGAGAGAATCCGCCCAAATAGCAACCGCAGTAGCGTCTCGAATGTCCGCGTATCCGGTGCACCTCCAGTACTAGCGTTTGACCCGTGCAGATGCCGCTAAGAATCAGTAACTTGACAGACGGAAGAACTGCAACTACCCAAGCTACTAGCGCTCGTCGGGCTACTTGCCCCGCCCGTGACAATTTTCCAGTCAAAATCGACGAAAGGCCGCGATGGCACACCATCCATTGATCTTTAGTGCTGCTTTTTGACCTCAGCATTCGATGATGCCTCTGTTAACTTACAGTACACGTAACAGTGTTTTGGATTTCGCTCCCATTTCCGATATACAAAACTAAAAACGTATTTTTCGAGGTATAAAATTAAAAGGGACAGTAGACGTGGTATCACCTGGCAGGATGCGTCAACGTCACCATTGTTCCTTCTCTCTAAAACGATATTGCGTCCAAAGATCGACTTCGAAGGGATATTTAACAGCGATAGTATCAGAAGTGGGAGCGGAATCTGTAACAAAGGGAAACGACAAGCATTGATCCTAGGTACCTGAATGGTCAAAAGGAGATTGTCTTTTACAAAGGGAGAACACTACATTTTAGCTGTTTGTCAAAATCTGAGATACATAAAAGAAGCGCTCTACAACGGTAGCAACTTGTCATTTCGTTCCATAGCAATAACCTGACGCCGGCAGAATAGAGTTCGTGGTTTGCCGATACCAGAACCATTGACGCACGCCCTGGTAACTCAAGAACTTGGGTTACGCCTCTAATAGAGAGCTGGATTCGGTCTTCGGATGGCGCTCAGGTGGGGAAAACAAATTATTGGGTCATATACAGACATGACCTGGGTTTAGATTGGATGTTTATTTAGGCCTAAATTCAAACCAGGCGGCCACAGCCCTTTATTTGCTTCATTTGCCAGTTCTAGGTATGCATGACCTAACGAAGTGTTAGAAGTACATATTCCCTTGTCGTCGACTGCCTGCGACACTGCGATCCGTTTGCCACATTTACTAGGGTAGTTTTGAATGGTATGCTGAGTTAGCGTCATTTTTCGATTTACCGCCCACCCAGTAGTCAGTGTCGTCATTGATTTGTTTGTCAAGCTCAAAGGAGGAGTCTGATAGCTCTTTCGACTGCTGCATTGGATTATTTTGCTGACAGAACGCTCGCTAATGCTGGAATCATCGCAGAATGCCTTGACATTTTCACAGAACTCCTGGATAATCTCAGCATCTTCTGTTCGTAGAATGGCCGTGGGCGCAGTGTTCTGGAACGCACCACGCGTGACTGCATCGAACAGCTGGTACCAGATTCGCCGGTGCTCCAACCTAACGTATGCAGTTTTGTGGATCGTGGGTCCACTTGGTGGAGGAAAGTCTTGTACGGCACTTGCTTCCGCGTATTCACTTGATCCATTGAGCTGGAATGTGATTTGGCTTCATCTCTCTCGCACAAAATCGATGGCCGATTGCACGTGGTTGTGTTGAAGCGAGAAAACAAATATTTTTGACAGTTTTGCAGTTTTTGTGAATTGGCGTACGGGCTGGCGCCGGAGACGCGTAGTTCTCAAACATCGAAGATTTTTAATGTTGTGAATGAGCACGAAAATGGTAATGAATGGGTTGATAGAAAAACATGAGTTGATGAACCGACAAAATGAAATGAGTAAGTGGCTCACGAATTGGTTGACTGCTGCGAGATGTTTGAACGGTGTGATTACCTGTTGTTGTTCTTTGAACGGTTCCGGCGCCTGCCATTCACCAAAGTAGAGTCGTAGGAAGTGTAGACCGCGGACTGTGTCGGATGCAATCCAAAGAAGACGCGCCTTGATGCGCGCTAATGCGCACACGTCCTTGTCGTTGTCGTCGATGTGCATGATGAACTCGCGCAGGTCTGGTTGGCAGCAAGTGTTCGTTAGTATGTGGAGTAGTCGTTGTGATGCATGTCATGTTGATAATTACTTGCCGTCGACTGTATCAAAAACTTTTCTTTTGTGTTTTTCAATCGTGATCTTGAGTTTTTTTTTAGGGGAGACTGGTATCTCGTCGTGGGTTGATCGATCATGGGCCATGCCAGATCGTGCGTCATCGTTGGTGTCGAACGAGGCCCGGCCATCACGTTGTCCGCTGCATGCTTATCGGCCGCGTCTCTCTCGCGCTGTTTCTTTGGTGGCATTGCCGTCGAAGGGAGGGTGTGTTCTCTCGGGCTGAATGGACTCTGAGCTCTTCTATATGGCTGCTACGGCAAGGGACTATGCGATTGGCAGATGAAAGCACGAAGGATTCATGAACGCTTTATGGTGCCAATTCTTGATCGTGTGCGACGAGGACGTTGGAACATCGTTCAACGACAGCAGCCTAACAAGAGTCTCTTCTCTTCTCGTCGCAGGCGCGGCACCGCATTCGTGTCGCGCAGCGCTGTTCCCACTTGAAGAACCAAGTTTGTGGCACTCGAGTATGACTAAACAATGTCCGGTGCTGTTGATCGAGCGTTCGAGACTGTCCGCATCGTGGAGGCAAACGTGAGCATGGGTGGCGATTGGCTCGCACGCCCAAGTGTAAGTTGTTTGTTAGCTATTCGAGTTTGATCAGTGTATGTGACTTGCTCGTGTTGCAGAGCGATGCTCCTGTTTGTATGTGCGAGCTTGATGAAGGCGAGGTGCGTGGATGCATGGAGCGGTGTTTAAATCGTTCTGTAAGTGACGATTGGGTGTGTTTAGTTACTGTGAGCTTCAGTTTATAAGATCTCATTGTGGTGGTTATCGGTAGATGCGATTCGAATGTGCCGTCGAGAGCTGTCCCTGTGGAGACCGCTGTAGCAATCGTCAGCTACAACAGGGCACGACGTTAAAAACCGCCGTCATTGATTGTGGTTTGAAAGGAGTCGGCATTATTGCCCTCGAAGACATCGCTGAAGGGCGTCTCGTCGGCGAATACGTCGGCGAATACGTCGGCGAGTTATTGGGACGTCGAGAGGCTCAGTTAAGATCAAAGGTAAGGTGTTAACCGAATCATGTCACACTTACGAGATTCTAACACTGAGAAGTGTAGCTGTATCGCGGTTAACGACACTCCTACATGATGCAAACTAATGCTGATGCAATCATCGACGCTACCCGTATTGGTGGCCGCATGCGGTTTGTAAACCATTCATGCGATCCCAATTGTCAGGTTGAGAAATGGAGCGTTCGCGGCCAGGAACACTGTGATTTGTTTGCGAATAGATGTGTGAGGGCCGGCGACGAGATCACGTTTGACTACAACCTCGTTTCTGCCGAGAGTGAGGTGTGGCGCTGCACTTACATGCAGATATTGCTTGTCTAATAACGTTCTATGTACTCGCAACAGGGATTTGAGTGTTTATGCGGGTCAAGATGCTGTCGAGATGTGATTGGAACACGAAATCGTGCGCAACATCTCGAATGCCAATCGCAGCAGCCAACACCAAGAAAAAAAAGCGGTTTATACAACTTACATTAGATCGTTTCTTGCAGTCTTGACAATCGTTCTCGACAACGCTCCGTAATTTTTCGATGAGAGGGTTTGAGCCGAGCGACGTGGCCTTTTCGGTAGTTGCACTCTTGAGTTATGCGTTTATATCGAACAAGGCAGTATCTCTGTTCATCTCTTTGGAGTTTGGAGCTTTTGTGAAAGTGCCAAGGGGGAGATGGTGCAGCTGCTGCTGTTGGCCGGTTCCCAAGACTTTGGGGATGTGTCCTGTATTGACTGCCGTTTGCAAGCGTGCTTAGTGAACCGTCAGCGGTCTTATCGCGTTGCTGCTGACAGCTTCGGTCTGAGTAGCTTTTATTATCCACCACTGTCCTATATGTTGGTCACTGCCCATGGTCTTCAGCGCTGAAGAACGAAGAAAACGGAATAGGCTCGCTGTCCAGCGTAATCGAGCACGCGAGAGCCCTGAGCAGAGAGCTGAAAGGTTGCAAGCGACAGCGTGAGCGACAACTACGTGCCCGTTCGGCTGTCCGTGGCAACGAACTGTGTCAATCCATCGGTGAACCGCATTTAACCTGGCTAGACAGTGGTGCTCCAACTCTACGCCCCGTGAGTACTAGTACTAGCACTAATATGAGGTTTTGCATCGATTGAGATTGACTCTTGGGACGTCCGGATTCGATGATGCAACATGCGCCTTGTGCGACTGCAGTAAGCTGCGTCAATCGATGACTATCATTTCAATTGGCGACGATCGAGACCGCATTGAGCGAATGCAACTACTGTTGTCCAGCACCGACGAGCACTTGCCAGCACAACTGACAGCCGAGTACGACTGCTTGGATCTGTTCGCTTGTTTAGGTGAAATGCTGCTGTCAAAACGAGGTGTTCATCCAGCTGGCTACATTCAAGTGTGTAAAGAATGCAATGTCAGTTTGGTGAAGCAGTTGGTGCCAAAATTTACAATCAAGAATGGGTTTTATGTCGGTTCACTACCGAGTCATCTCCTCAGCGCCACGCTACCGGAACGCCTGATGACACATACTGTCTCGATCATTGCAGTGACCCGGGTTATGCGTGGCGGTGCGCATCGCGCGATCCGCTCACATTGTCTTGCCTTCGACTCGACGCCGGGACCTGCTGCGACGCTGTTGCCCACATTCATTAGCAACATTAACTGTTATCGAGTCGTGATGGCGGGCCTGTTCACTACCTAACAACAAGCGCGCGTTCGGCAAATGGACCTCGTTCGTCGTCAAGTGGTTGAAGATTTACTGGCCTTCTACTGTGAACACAACGCGCTATATGAGGACGTTGTCGTGAATTGCTCAGGTCTCGCAGCTGAAACGGTGGCCGAGAACTTGATTTCCGAAGAGACCAGCGTCAACGTTGATGTCAACGATGTCGACGGCGATAGCGATCGAGTTGGCAGTGCCACTGAGATTGGTGAGACTGTTGGAGAGACTGATGTCGTAGAGCATAGCGTGGTGTTCATCGCGGAAGACCGCGAAGTCACAACGCAAGACACAGCAACTCTAGTTCAAGTTGTTGAGTTACCGACCCAACACACAGCACAACCTCAGTTTCTTGTTCGACACTCGAGTCGATTTGCTGGCAAGAAGAACTTGCTGTTCGCGCGCATGTTCCCGCACCTCTTTCCGTATGGTAGAGGGCATCCCAATGAGCAGCGGCAGATTTCAGTATATCCAGTTGAGTACTCGACGATTTGTTGAAGACGAGCTGTTCACACTGGTGAGTTTTGATCACCTCACTCTCCAGCGGATGTACCTTCATGTTGCACTAAAATGCCAACGCGATCCTACCCGATTCGAGCGATACAGCGCCATCTCCGAAGGCTCGTTGCTAGAAGCGCTTCAAAACAAAAAGCTGCATCGCCAAGGTAGAGCGACAGTGACTCACGATGACAGTTCCACCGATAGCGACTTCTTGAAAACAGTTGAGCTCAGCACAGGTGTCATTTGGGGTAGTGACGCCGAGCAGGAACAGTGCCGCCGTCGGGCATTTGCCTATCAGGCCAGGTACGTCCAGCCCGCTCTCTTTGTGACGCTCACCCCCAACGTTGGCGACTCGTTTGTTATGGCGCACTACGCGGGCATCTCGTCAGTCGACACACTCTTCGACGCTAATCTGGCTCAGCTACCCAGACGCTCAGCACTCCAAAATGCAAGCCTACGCAATGATGTCGCGTCCGCTCGTTTGTTCATGCACAATATGAACGCTTTTATCGAGCATGTGCTCGGCATACCTCCTACGAAAATGAAGACCAAGGCTTTTGACGGACTCTTTCGTGATGTGAAAGCTTACTTTGGTGTGGTGGAAACCCAGGGCGGCGGCACATTGCATGCTCACTTCCTCGTTTGGCTCACTGATGCGCCGCCCAGCACTGACGCGTTTAGTAAAACCACAGCTGAACATACTACCGTGACATCGCCGCCTATGTAGATAGCATTGTCAGTACTTCGTTGCCGCTTGACGTCGCAGTGAACTGTCAGTTTTGTGGACACTCACTTGAAGGCTTGCTAGCACTGTCGATACCACGTGAAGCGTACGAGAACCCCAACGCTGGTCGAAGCAATGCTCAGGGAGAGCCACTGTTCGTTCGGTGTCCTCAATGTGCCACCAAAATGAGCTCTCAGCACGTGCTTCGACGCATTATTCTCCAGCAACGACCTCCGACATGGCCGCCACCACTACGAACGTATTCTTCGGAGGAGCTCAAAACAGCCGTGCAAATGGAAATCAGTTGTCGAGGCAGTGTTGGTGCGGCAAAGGCTGCCGCCTTTCGTCGAGACATGATTTTAGCAACCAGAGACAGCGTCGACGACACGTACGGAGAGCACTTGCGTACACTGAATGCGGTGCCGTACCGCAGCGAACAACGTGGAGACAACGCCTTCTCCGACGACAAAGTAGCTCAATCCATCATGATGTTGCCGCCCTCGGTCGACGACGAGCGCTGGACGCCAAACGCTACCGCGTTCGCGGTGTCAATGCTCGTGTTCATGCTGAACATCCACTGGTGGTCGCACGTCGGAAGCTGCTTCTAAAAGAGTCGCGTTTCCGCTTCAGGGCAGTGTCGGTATCGGTTCCCACGAGCGCGAGTTGATAACACGGCCTGCACAAGTGCTGGTGTCGAGCTTACGAGGCAGCCACCGTTCGAATACGTCAATGGCTACAATACTACCATGATGCTTTCTTTTAAGTCGAATCACGACGTTCAAATGCTGGTCGGTGGTTTGGAGGCGCTCCTGCGCATCTATTATGCCACCAAGTACGTCACCAAAATGCAAAACGTGGTCGATTCTGTCACGGCCGTGGCTTTAGCGGCATTCAAGCGTCGGGAGCTCCGAGAGCAGCAAAGCCAGACAGACATCACGGGTGGATCATTCGGCGGTCGGACTTACTCGCGTTGCATCCATGGCTTTCGCACTGACCAATCGACGAGATCGCGGGCCCCCTCGCGGCGTTATATTTGCTGCGCGGATCATGCACATACATGAGCGCATCATGTACATCTCTCCCTGTCTACGACGTTTTGCACGAATTGATTCAGAACGGCACGCACTCATGCAACCTCGTCGAGCTTCAAGAGGCTGAGGCCAACGTCACGTTTCGCGCTGCCTCCTTCCTCGACGACTATATCTTCCGTCCGTCGTCGCTAGACCGTATGAATATTTACGAATTCGCCATGGCGTGTTTTTGCCGCAAGCAATCCAAGTCGGCAGCAACGACCGATTTGATTTTGCCCGGTCATCCCCTCTTTAATACGCATTGCATTGGTCATCATCAAACTGAAGCGGTCCCGGTCATTACAGGTGTGCGAATGCCGTACGTAGACTCCAAAACACCTTCCGAGCTTGTTTTCAAACGTGCCAAGTGTGCATTGGCACTATTCAAGCCATTTCGTGCCGTCTTGGATCTCGTCGGTAAACCGGCAAACGAAGCTGCATGGATTGACGCATACGTCCAGTGGGAACCTACGCGATCGAGCTTTGTTCGCGAAGTCATGGCGAACATGGATGATTACCACCATGGCACCGCAGCTAGCGCAGCAGGAGGATGAATCCGGTAGTAATGAACTAGAACGTGAAGCTGACAGTGACGATATCGTTGGGACTCGGAACGATATTGATGGCACAATTGCCAACATGCCATGTGATGATGAGGCTCCCGTAAACGACGGAAGAATCGACGACTTTTGCCATGTTTTCTCTGAAGACGACGACGCGGCTATGGATACCGACGGAGGGAGTCTGCTAATCTTCCCGACTACAGGAACTGACTTATTACGATCGAGTATAGTTCATCAAGAACTGCTGGACCCGACAGCAGAATGTACGGCTCGCACCGCCATTGATCTTGCCAACGGCGATCACGAACTGGCGTTGTCGGTGGCAGGGTTAGAGGAATGGGTCAAGGATCCAACGAGCGACGAAGCTGAACTTCCCCCGGCCGGTTTCACGCGTGATGAACGGTCCGCCGATGTGATAGAACTCATCCAGAGCGCACTAAAGTCGGATCGTGAGTGGTCTCCGCCAAACCAGCAGCATGACTGGCCACCACCAACACCACTGCGACCGTACCCTAGCATTAGCGACGTCTTCACAGCATTTACACTCAAACGACGTCAACATACAGCGTTCATGCTGGTAGCAAGAGCACTACTTCGTCGTTTCCAGCAACAAGAACGCGCCAATGTTCACAAGTTGCTGACTATCGCGCTTGCGACTTCGAGTCCCGACTACGAGACGACCAGCTGCTCATGTTCCTTGGTGGTGCCGGTGGCACCGGCAAGAGTCGTGTAGTCGATGCTATCAATGCATTTTGCTCCGGCTGGCACCACGACAGCTCCTTTGTCAAAGCAGTACTGACCGGAAAAGCAGCCAGTCTCATCGGTGGGCGCACGCTTGCAAGTTTTCTTGTACAACTGGAGCACGCCATCAAAGGAAAAAAAGTTCAATCCACATGACCTGCTCGTCATCGACGAGGTGTCTATGATGAGCAAGGCGGAATGGGTCAAACTCGACGAGCTACTGCGTCGATAGATGCAGGTCGACAATGTCCCGTTTGGCGGTATTCACGTCGTGCTAGTGGGGGATTTTCTGCAGATGCCACCCGTAAGGTCAGACCCAATCTACCTAGACCCCATCGGCAAGGCGAAGCCCAGCACAGTCGACGTCGGAGGATTCGAGCTCTAGCGCAGGTTTACGGTGGTAGTAATCCTTGACGAGTGTGTGCGCTTCCGCGACGACCCCGAATGGGGAGAGGGCTGCTGAAACGGGCGTCTGGGACGCTGGACTCCACAGTTCGTCGATATGATTAACGCGCGTGTTGTGCAAGCCACGCCCGATGGTGGTAATGCTCAGCATCTTCCGGATCAAGCTGTTGCATCTGTAGTTTTCGTCACGCCGGAGAATTCGACGCGGTTGGCGATCAAAAATGCGTTCATGAAAGAAACTGCAGCCAAACTATCGAACAACGTATACCCGACCCGCGTCATCGCGAATATCAAGGGTGCCCTCAACGGCCTCAGCAGGAGCGACCTCTGCTGCGTGCTCAGCCTCCCAGACAACAGGTTCGGCCGGATGGCTCCATTCCTAGATCTAGTTCAAGGAATGCCCATACAAGTGACACAGAATGTTGCCACCGCCAAGGGTGTAGCGAACGGCACGCTAGGAATACTTGAGTACGTCCACTTCCCCACGGGCACCCACTATCGACTTGTTCACGACGGCGCCACTTCCACAATTGTCCAACTGCCAAGCCAGTCTCCAGACTACGCACTCATTCGCGTGCCGAGGCCACACGCTGCTTCGATTCGCCCTGGCCTTGACCCCGAATTATTCCCCGTGTTTTCGCAACGGAAGCGTATACGAAAGCAACTATCACGCTCATACCGGCTCCAGATGGGCAGCCGCGCTACGTCAAAAGTGCACCCGCAGCAATTCCCCTTTGTATGCGCGGTTGGCTCGACCGTATATAAAGTCCAAGGAGAAACACTGCAATCCATGATTGTCGTCGACTGGAAATCAACGCAGCCACTCGCCAACAAACCACAACAAACATATTTGCTTGTTTCGCGGGTTACAACTCGGAACGGACTGACCGCACTAGCACCACTTACGCCGAAGCTCGTGGAGTGGTCGAAGCCGTCGGATCACGCGCTCCACGAAGAAGAACGCCTCAACGATCTCAGCAACGCCACGTTAGAGTAATTGCACCTGCCAGTGACCACCGACGTGACGGACCGATACCGCGATGGAAACAATCCGCAATCTCGAGATGAAGCACCATAACCAGTAGGTAGCGATCACCTTTGTTTGGACACAACTGTAAGCGAATGCAACCACATAATATACAATAAATCCATCTATAATGCCGTACCTCGGTCTCACATGTACATCTCCGCTACTGCGAGATATAGACCAAGCTCTCGCTAGGTAGCGTGAAGCTTCTCCCTCCATACAATGCGTATTCCCCGGCATCCACCTGCACAACCGCCACTGTATACCACAAAGTCTGGCTTTCAAAGACACGATCAGCACGTTATCCTGCAGACGCCACTTTTCACACTTATACGCTCACTCACCATAATATAAGAACATACAAACATCACCAAGCTACGGCGCTGGTCACCTGTCCGCCCGATCACCCGCAGAATTCCAGTTCCAATCGGCTCGATCCGGTGCCTGTTGATTTCTCCCTCTACATCTTGGATTGAGTATGTAATCGTGGTTGCAATCAAAACAATCGAACGCAGTTGACCGAAGTTGAGGTCGACCAAAGGTCGTACGCTCACAAACATCCGCTATACCCCCTAGGATAGTTCTTTGAACCACGAACATGCCGCTTTCGAAATTTCAGAGCTTCTCAGTGCGCAGCAGGACATAGGCCGACGCCATTGCTCAGTTGAAGACATGCGTGGGCGTGCTGCTATAGAAGAACTGGCGCGTGAAGCAGCGCGAGCGCCGCTTGAACCGCGGGAGGCTTGGCAAACGCTGGCTGTACCCGGAGCTCGTTACGGACATCATCATCTCGCTGGAGCTTATTCTACTGTTTATCCAGAAAATGTGCGATTACAACGCGCAGTTGGAAACGTCCTAGAACATTATCCATTCGCGTGGGCTCTACTAGTAAAACAGTGGAAAGGAGCTAAGCAACAAATATTTTTACTTTAGACCTTGATATTCCGAAATCTGCTAATCCTTTTCGTGATTTAACCCTACCGAAAAACTTGAGAGGGGTTTAGCAGGAAAATATTTAAAAATAAAAGTTGTGCAGCATACAAAATTGTAAATGACTGTATCAAAAATGAAATTTAAAGGATAATAAGGGTGCGCTGGATTTCTGTTCGTGGTGTGTTTATGGACGGAACTGGATTTAGAAAATCGTAATCACAGGCAGCACGTCAACTTGACTGAACCAAAGTGGTATTCAAGAACTTTGATTGCTACATGTATTTTCGCGATCAATAAGACGCAGGCTTCATTGTTGAGCTCGATGAAGCGTTGGCTATTCTCGCTTAGATTAACTGTTCGGAGCACTGACTACGCGAACGATGTAATGCTGCTCACATGAATTTTGATATTAACGTTAAAAGAAG